AGATAATTTATTAACAAATAATTATTCCATTATGTTAAAGGATTGGTGAAAAGTCCGAGCAAAATGAAGAGGTAGGGGGTGGTAGGGGGCAAGATCTTCATCCTCCCCTAGCTTGTTTATAGTGATCAGCTGGACCGTCAGCGTCGTTTACTCTGAGTCGCTTACTATTAGTAAGGAGATCAGAGGTAAGGCACTGTGTTATATAGATACTATAACCTTACATGGAATAATAAAAATCATAGGGGAGACCCCATGTCACCCAACATAATCCATAAATGTTAAACTCTTAAACATGTATATAATATATCTTATAATATTGCAGTTAATGTTGCTGAGCCCCCCCCCCCCCTCTGTCTTTTCTAATACACTTGAGATGGTTATTCCTTTGACAAAAATAAATTTTCTAGGTTTTTTTTACACTGTATCAAGGCTTCACAGTATGACGATTTATTCTATTTTCACTTTACGTATGCAACGCACTACATTTTGTAGCGGAGTAAACAGGCCCGATAGTCGTGAACTGAGCAGGGGACCTAAGGTCCTAGTTGAGCGTACGTTTTATCCTTCTGCACACAAATTACTCTTAGCTGCAGGTCTGTAGCGTAATGGTTTTATATATTTGTCTTTGACCATTTGCCAAAGACAAAATACAAAAACATAACGCTACAGATCTGCAAATAAAATTACTCTGTGATCACATGTTGTAGGCGACGTTTTGTTTCCAAAAAATGCTTGAAAATCACAGCAGAATAAAATCAGCCGTTTTGATAAGAACGGATTTTGATGAAATTGTATTTTGTAAAAGTTGATCAACAGTAAAAAAAAAATATTTGAAAAATATTAGCAAAAAAACTTTTCAGTCGGCGCGTTTTAATTGGGACGGTCGCATTAGGGGAAACAAAGGTATTTTTTATTTTGGCCTAAACGTGATGACTTTAACTTTTCAATCGTCAACTCCCCTTTTTGCATATGCAGCAGTATACTTTCGTCGTCTGCATACGGGGTTTATGCCTCTCAGTTGATTCCGATACGCAAGAGCATGCTCTTCGTATGAACAATTTCTAAAATATTGTAAATTATTGACAAATAAATTGCGGAAAAAAGAATATCAGCAGTCTATTTTAAAGTCATCAATTCAGAAGTTCTATGGTCAGAAAATACAATCTATAATTACGCTAAATGCTGAATGACTTTTGTCTTACTAATTGTTATCATTATATATATATATATATATATATATATATATATATATATATATATATATATATATATATATATATATATATATATATATATAGATAGATTCCTATATATATATATATCCATGTAAAAGTGAATTTCTTTATTTCTATATTAATATTTCTTCATTAGGGCAGTTATGTTATTTAAGAGTTGTTGTAAAATGTGCTTTATAAATAATAATTAATTTCATTACAACATGTATTGGTAACAATCCTCTGATAAAACTAATGTCCAAATAACTGTATCTCACTTCTATTCTCAATGACCGTGTAGTGTAGGGCAGCGCCGCGAGAATTCCATCGGCATCGAAAGCAAGTTTTTTTGACTTGCCTAGATAGCCGAGCGGTCTAGCGCGCTGTTCCTGCACTGCTAGGAGACAGATTCCGAAGGTCGAGAGTTCAACCCCGAGCTGGGGCGGAAGTGGGTATCCATGTAAAAGTGAATTTCTTTGTGCTTTCTATATTAATATTTCTTCACTTAGGGCAGTTATGTTAGTTTAAGAGTTGTTGTAAAATGTGCTTTATAAATAATAATTAATTTCATTACAACATGTATTGGTAACAATCCTCTGTTAAAACTAATGTCCAAATAACTGTATCTCACTTCTATTCTCAATGACCGTGTAGTGTAGGGCAGCGCCGCGAGAATTCCATCGGCATCGAAAGCAAGTTTTTTGACTTGCCTAGATAGCCGAGCGGTCTAGCGCGCTGTTCCTGCACTGCTAGGAGACAGATTCCGAAGGTCGAGAGTTCAACCCCGGGCTGGGGCGGAAGTGGGTATCCATGTAAAAGTGAATTTCTTTGTGCTTTCTATATATATATATATATATATATATATATATATATATATATATATATATATATACACACACAGGTGACTCTCGATCTCTCGAAGTTCAAGGGACCGCAAGAAAAGTTCGAGAGATCGAGGGGTTCGAGAGATAGAAAGTAAAAAAAAAATCCGGAATTTTCAGTTCCGATCATTGAAGTTCTACTTTTATAGATACCGGAAGTATTTGTAAATAAAGTCATTGCACGTTTTCAATCGTATTTGACAGGTAATTTACTTGATATCAACAACAATGACTGTATTCCGATTAAATAAAACGAATTTCTAAAGTTTCAGTATTTATTTGTTCATATTTCATGATTAGATGAAACCCGAATAGCAGCTGTCTGTTTGGCTATTTCGCGGCTTGATCGGGACCTTCACCAGTGTTCAACAGATTTTTCTTAATCGGTATTCAATCCTTGAGAAAGGAATTTTCTTGTGCAACATTTGCCATGCTGGAATTATTTAGACTCTATTTAATCATAATAAAAGTTCATTGTCTATCGGAACTTACTGAAACGAACATCTATAAATTAAATTTCTAAAAATTATCGTCTCAGTTTCAATTCGAAATAAGTTGTGAATTTGAATATAATAATTTACCCTGTAATTAATAACCAATTAATTATATCAAAACACGGACGACCCACAGGTGTAGTGTCATCTATGTAAACACCCAATTAACACCTCCATGCCAGCCCAATCAAAACTTCGAGAAATAGAGAGTAAAAATCAATTAAATATGTGTAACGGGATACAGATTTTGGTTCGAGAGATAGAGAACTTCGAGAAATAGAAGTTCGAGAGATCAGGAGTAAATTTGCTTAGTTATATAAAGGAAAAACGGTATACAATACGGTAAAACAGAACCGGAGGTTCACTTCGAGAGATCGAGAACTTGTATATATATATATATATATATATATATATATATATATATATATATATATATATATATATATATATATATATATATATATATATATATATATATATATATATATATGATATATATATATATATATATATATATATATATATATATATATATATATATATATATATATATATATATATATATATATATATATATATATATATATATATATATATATATATATATATATATATATATTTCCCCACTATTGTTGATGCCCCTGGCATACCCTCAATCAACGAGAGATCGGAGTTCGAGCCATCGAGAGTCATATATATATATATATATATATATATATATATATATATATATATATATATATATATATATATATATATATATATATATATATATATATATATACTTACCTAACGACGGATTTTCCGTTATTTCCCGACAATGACAAGGAGCACACGGCGGGTGTGACCGGTCGGCAGGGGATGCTCACTTAAATATATATATATATATATATATATATATATATATATATATATATATATATATATATATATATATATATATATATATATATATATATATATATATATACCTCCATGGCACCTGATCCCACCTCTGATTTTTTAAATGTCCGTTTTTTGCTCTGCTTCACTTTTGTATTGTTTAATGGACTTTTGAGCTTGAATACTTTTCATCATATCCATATATTTCATAATCTTGTTTAATCCACTGTCGTCTGAATTAATTGCTGTTGATATTAGAAATGAACAAATATTCAGTTACAAAGTCGCATAACTGACATGTACATTTGTCTACAGTAAACGGGTTAATAAACATTTTGTTGATTTGGTACCTAAGCAAAAATAATATAAAGGTGATAATTGTAGTTCTATATTGAATTAAATAGAAATACCTCTAATACACCTGCAAGTTTATAAACATTTTTTCGGATTCTGTAGGATGACGGTTAACATTCAGAGGATATTGTAAAATATTAAAATGATGCGTGTTTATCTGTTATTCTTGGAGATACCTTGCAAGGATTTCTTGAACCCTTCAAACAAACTGATTATCTGATAATACATGTATTTATATAAAATATTATCCCCATCCTCTTAATGAGAAGTTGTTGTTCGAAAAAACACTGCACAAATAGTCCTCGGTCATGTTTTCTACATATAACCCCTCTGTTTCTTTAGTTTTTTTTTAAAACAAATTTTATTATTTGTTAAGTTATTTTATCATACTAAAAGTTGTCAACAGAAATATTTCTGGAAGGAAACATAATGCTTTCATGAGATATTATTAACAGTTTTATGGAATGATTAATCATTTTAATTGTTATTTTTCAAGGTCAGTCCCCTCTGTTCGCACATGTGCACTCTCAATTAAGATCACGCTCTTAAAATTGTCGATTATTTTATTCCAACTTACTGTTTACCGAGGTTTAACCATCTATAGTATTTTTTGTTATTGTTTTTGGTTCTTTTACAAAACAATCAAGAATATGAAACAATATTTCAAGGGTTGAAATAATCGATTTTAAAAACTTTCAGCAAACTTTGTCTTTAAAGAAATTTTCAGTAAAATTTAGCTGCCTTTTATTCATGTCAGTAAGAGTACAAAAGGAGTTTCTGCGAGGTTTTTAACCAAGACTTAATGGAACAAAATGAATGAAATGTAAAATGCAAGATATAAAATGAACCGCAAAATACGCAGATGATAATTTCTAGAAAATGAAGATAAAAACTTCCTTTAGTTAGTAAACATGCTATTGTCTATACTATTACAAATCCTTTGACCATCTATAACATAAATAACGTGATGTTTTGCGCATTTGACATTGATATAGTAAGCAAACAAATAACTTCTTATTCCAATCGGGTTAAGGACTCTTGTTCTTCCTGTAAAACTGGAAATATTTACTTTAATTATTTGATGAATTACCCTTTTAGATAAAACCTATCCTTATACTATATAAAACATGTTAACTCCAGAAAGTAAAAAAAAAAGAGAGGTGTCACCGATCCCATTGGAGGGAAGAAACATTTTGAACAATATAGAGGTTCCTTTAAAAGGATAATTTTATTTAAAATCGAAAAACAAGCAACAACCATCAAGATGAACGAATCAACTGCATTAACTCCCGGGCCAAGGGTGTTCGATCGATATGAGTTTGTATCAGAGTCCCCGGCTGTAGGGGTTTTCTTGATTATAGTATTGATATTTGCATCACTAATTGGGGCATTCGGAAATCTGCTCATATTGGTGTCTCTTTTCAAGTGTAGGATGATTAAATCTTTAGAATGCATCTTCATCGGTAACTTGGCTCTCTCTGATTTGTATGTGACTTTGGTTGCCGACCCGATGAGCATAATTGGTGAGTGCCTAACCTTTTCTTTGACAAAATGAGATGTTCCACTATGGACATGATTTTAGATAATTATAATTAGGTAGCAAATATCCACTTTTTAAAAATATTTCTAGTGACAAATTCATTTTTAAAGCTGCTTTTCATTGCATGACTAGATATAACAATTCTAAATTTTAGTAGATTCTATTCTTAAAATGTTGAGAACAAAGGCGTTATAGGTGACTTAATTTATAATGCAGGTAATCTTCATAAAGATTTTTTTTCTTTCAGCTAAACTAGAAGGGGAATATTTCTTCAATTCCATAGATGGGTTATGCCAAGTAATCGCCTATATTTGTACAATGGCTTGCGTAAATTCTCTTGGTTCAATAACATTGATGAGTTTTAACCGTTACATTCTTATTTGCCATCACGAATATTACAACAAAATTTTCAAAAAGAGCACATGCATTGCGATGTGTGTTTGCTTATACCTTATTGGTCTTACGCTTGTTCTTTTAAATTTGGCGGGAATTGGAGACCATTCCTTTGACAGGAAAAGCCTTGAATGTATATGGGACCGCATGGCAACGTATTATTATACTGTGGTATTTTCCGTGCTTTTAGTATGGATTCCAGTAACTGTAACGGGAATATTTTACTTGAAGATTTTCGTAACTGTTCGGAAGAGTACGAAAAAAATTACACAAGTCACGTGTGCAGACCACAACCAGAAATCAGTCAACCTTGCACGAACATTGTTTTTTATTTACGTTATTTTTTCTCTGTGTTGGATTCCATACGCCTTGATTATAGTGATAGACAGAAATGACACATTTCCATATGAGCCACATTTGATTCTCACTGTTTTTGGCCATTTACATCCTTCAATCAACTGGTTGGTTTACTATTTCACCAACACAAAATTTCGTAAGGCTTTTGACAGACTTGTAAAGCTGAACAAATTTTTCGACTTATGCAAGAAAAAGAAGGAAATACCGATTGAAATGTCGAAGACACCAACACACTCAAACGATATTTTGACTACCAAAACACAAAATTATCATTCGTCTTCAGGAACTGAATAACACGAGAATACCTTTCCATAAATATTTACTATGACTGTGCAAAATTTATCTGTGATCAAAGCTAAGGACAATACCCTTGAGGACATTCATAATTTTCAATTGTGTAAATAAGTGCTTAGGTAAAGTTTAAGGAATAAAAGTGAAAAATTGTATTTTTGAAATTAAAAAAAACAAAAAATTCTTGGTCGTTTTATTTAAAAAATAAATCATTTTTTCACACAATGAAATTTTTTATCTAATTCACTGAACAAAAAATCCATAACTTGGTTTCTTTAATTTAATTATTTTAAAAAATAAATCATTTTTTCATTAAGCACAATAAATTTTTTATGACATTAAAGTGCTTAACAGAAAGCACAGAAACATACATAAAAATAGCAATGGCTAAAAAATAACTTCAAGTTGCTGTTCCAGTTATAAAAATATCATTAAATGTTGCAATGCCTTTAATGTCATGAATTATTGCATTAATACATGTAGTTGAAATTCTCCAAAGGTAATATCCAAAAGTGTGCTGCACACATGGCTCGACATATCAAAAATAAGTCTTAAATATCTAGACAACATTTTACCGCTTTATATCAAGCATGATCTGGTCGCCCGCGTGGCGAAGTGGTAGAGCGTCCCAGTATAGTTCAGTTTATACTTGTATAAGAAAACCAGAATAACATTTGTTTTCAAGATTGAATTTCAAATTCTATACACTTTTTACTAAAATATTCAGATATCATCATAAGTTCATAAAATTAAAATGCTAGTTTTTATTGATTTGTTTTAGATATGATTTTAACCAGCTGTAACTACGTTTCATAATTTGGATAATCCGGATGTATATGTCATATAATCAAATCTCATTCTGTTCCTGGTAACCTAACGAATAATTACATTCTCTAACAGGATTCTTGTCTAAGCTGATGAGGTGGTTGACTTAATGTCCTATGTTCATAATCATCCGGAGAGGGGATTTCTTGTAATGAGAAGACCTCTAGCTATAGAATGTTAATACAGTGTTCATCGAAGTAAATACTCAACGCAATATATAACGAAAAATAAGGCAATAGTATTAATTTCTTGTTTCTCAGACCCCCCCCCCCCCCTTCAGCTCTTCCAAGGGTGCCTCATTGACCCTTTTTATTGCTAAATCAATAAAATAAAAATAACAAATCACTTCCCCTCATCATTTTCGGAGGTTTTATACAATGTAAAAAAGCTGTCTCATCATGTTTTGGGACAATGAAACGTAAAAATGAAAGTACCTCCCTCTCTCATCATATTTCTTGAAAAAAAAAAACTTGAGAACCAGGAAATTAATTTTGCATGGCCTAACCGAATCATATTACACGTTTGTCTCTACAAAGCAGGACTGAGTCTGTTAAATTGTTTCTAATTACGTAGTTTATAATTTCATCACTTATTTTAAATATTACTATTTCTATACATTGATTTTTCCTACAGTTATCCAAAATCAATATAATACTGGTATATTAATAATCGCCTCTTAATTAAATTCGATACGAAGAAATAATTTCAAAAGTAATACCCAGTCTGGTTTTGTGTTATAAAAATAAATACAACTTATTAGATACATTTAAGGACTCATGGCTCTTGACCATGGGATGCTCTTTATGAAAAAAACATTTAATAATTTCTTCAATGTTAACAGTATAGAACATTTTATTAATTTGTAGTATATTCTCTCTAAAATTTTTGCTAAAAATAAGAAAATTGTATTTATGCGCGGGGTTTCCTACATTTATGGACAGTTGAATTCCTTTAAAGTTTAACATTTAGCGTTAAGAATGACAACTCAATGTGAAGGAAAGTCAGGGTAAAAACGTTTGACTAACTGAGTTATCCGGATAACGTTGATATATATTCAGTTAAGAAAATTTATAATATTCTCTCTATAGAGAATGAGTCAACATTACAGGTATGAACTCGTCCGAAAAAAAAATTATGTCAACAATCATTTTATTTCAAATTTCGAAGGGCAAAGGGTTTTTTCCACATAAAATTACTGTATTAGATTCTAATTCGTAGATTTATTTGGTATTATCTAGTGTGTCGTAAAGATACCAGTGCTACTTCTAAAATTCTAACGTCACAAAAATTACAAAATAACACAATTGTGGCTACTCGAATTTTTGATAGAACTTAAGTTGGCATGCAAAAAATATGAAATACTTAGGACACATATAGAGATAACGAACAGTATTCAAACAAGTATTCATCGAACAATACAAAATAGAAGCAAAGCCAACACAGACCTCCTAAACATCAGAAGTGGGATCAGATACCATGGAGGAGTAAGCATCTCTGCCGACCGGCCATATCCGCCGTGCGCTTCTTGTCATGATCAGGAAATGACGGTAAAATCCGTCGTCAATTCATTGTATAAATAGTGGACTAACAATTAGTATGAATTAAAATAAAATTTTATTGATTTGTGATTTCCCTTACACAAAACGGTTATTTACTGTGTTTAGGGTCATCGTTGATTATGTTAGCCTTCGCATTACATTATCAATATTGCCCTCAATTCCAGTCAATATTTATGGAATATGCAGAAAAGACAGAGCCTCGAGTTGCTAGTAATTTTTAAGAATCATTTGATGCTCGAGGTTCTGATTGTCAATATCTTTGTAGTTTTTGAAAATCAGGCCCAATGACCATAAACTGAGAACAGACTTACGTCAAAATTTGAATATTTTACGTAGCTGCAAAATTTCAAGAACATATGTTTCTTAAAACTAAAGATATTCGGAATAAAATTTTTTACAAGTTTATTCTCAATCTGTTCAGCTTATGGTCTTGAGGTCGTGTTTTCTAACAATCTCTCAGAATTCACATTGGTACCATCTGCACCATGTTATTAGAAGACTTACCTTCAAGCTCATATGAAGCAGAATTTATTAAAAAAAACACACACACACTCAACGAAATCAATAAAACTATCTGTTAAAAGAATATTATTGGATTTAAAGTCGTCCTTTTACAAGTTCTATAATCGACCAGTAAACTTACCAGCAAATACAAGATTTCATTTTGTTCATTTTTGTTGATTGAATCTATTTTTCATTCTTATTGTTAGCAAATAATTTACAAACAGCATTTTTCCCCCATTTTCCAGACAAGGACAATGACCAGAAGCACTCAGATTAGTGACCGGTCGACAGGCTGCTCACCACTCCCTGGCACCGCATTCCTGATATTGAATCTTAATATCAAATATTTAACGTTAGTGTCATTAAAATTTAGAAGATGTCTTAAACAAGGTGCACACGGCGGGTTTAACCGGTCGGCAGGGGATGCTCACTCATTCATGGCATCTGATCCCACCTCTGATGTTTTGGAGGTCAGCGCTTGCTCTGCTTCTATTTTGTATTGTTTTATGGGTTTTTCTTTTATCTTGAATGCTGTTCGTTATCTCTACTTGTTTCATGCATAATTTTAGAAAATACACAAATCAATCATATTTTGTGAAAAATTTATCATTTCACTAAAGCTGGATAAATATAAAGAATAAAATTGTAATTTTTAAAAATAATTCAACTTGATCACATTTGTCTTAAGGAATATTTTAAAGAATTCCTTCATTTCCTTGGAACGTACTATACGGATGTAACTTCATACAGATTCTCTGTTTTCGTTTTTTCCTAATTAAAATGTCCAACAAGATTATAATGGTGATTATATAGAAGGGAATGAGGATAAGAGATAAATTTGTTAATCTAATCTTTTTTTTTTAAACTCAATTCATTATATACAAACATATCACACAAAAAAGTACTTAGAGATTGAAGACTCGTGTCAAATTAAGAGTATCTGCTTTGGAATTAACATTTTAATGAAATGACGATGAATTACATGTAGTTGCAGTTTCGTAAAGAAATGCTTGCGAGATGTTTTACCCTTTTTATTTCTAAGAAAAACCTTATATCAATCATTTTTAATAAAGAACAATTTACTGGAAAAGATGTCGATATATATGTTTGAGTATTAGTCGAAGATGGGGTATATATAGATCAGGTTAAATAAGGTAGAGTCAGCATTCAGTTCACACTATCATCAGCAAATGACATGTGCTGAATAGCTCATTCTAAAAAGACCCAAGGATTTCCTGAATTCAAAGGGATTTCAAGATTAATTATCTACAGTTGTTTTTTATCTTTTCATTTAAATCTTAATTATGAACACCACAGCCTCGTTTTCGGACGGAAGGATATTGGAACGTTTTGAGTTTGTTTCAGAATCCCCGGGAATAGGGGTGTTTCTTATCCTGATTTTAATCTTGGCTACTTGTTTTGGCACAGTAGGGAATGTGTTGATCTTAGTATCCGTCAGTTCCATCATTAAGATGAGATCTTACGAGTATATTTTCATCGGAAATCTGGCATTTTCAGACATGTATGTGACGCTCATTGCAGACCCAATGAATATTGTCAGTAAGTATACAAGAATTTATAATAAAAAGTTTTTCCTTCATATTTAATGATATTTTTAAAACGTGTAAACATTTAACTCAAACTGTGATGGTTTAATTTTCCTGGATATTACATTAAGTTTGTTAATAAATTTTGAACTTTTCAATTAAAAATTAATGTAAATATTTTTGAGTTACTAAGAAAAACAAGTTAACATACATATTTTTTCAAACCTCAGACAGAACATGGTTAAATTATATACTAGGTATAATTTTAATCATTTACACCAGATCTATTGAAATTGCATAGATATGTCAACTATTTTTATCTCTTTCGTTCTTTAATTGGTAAATGAAAAGTTTTCAATTGACCAACACCATTCATTATTTTAACCATTCCAGGTAAATTAGAGGGAGAAAGATTCTTCTATGCATATCCGCGTCTATGTCCAGCGATCGCATACTTGTGCACCATATCCTGTATTAATTCCCTTGGTTCTATTACTCTAATGAGCTTCAGCCGCTTTATCTTCACTTGCCATAGCAAATACTACAATAATATATTTTCAAAGAGATCGTGTATTGCGATGTGTTTTTCTCTTTATCTTATTGGAATTTTACTAATCCTATTAAATTTGGCAGGGATTGGGGACCACTCCTTTGATCGTAAAAGTCTTGAGTGCATTTGGGACCGAATGGCCACTTACTATTACACAGTGATATTCTCTATTGTTCTTGTATGGATTCCAGTTATACTGACGGGATTATTTTACTTGTGTATTTATCAAAAATTTCATAAAAGCAGCAAACAAGTCATGGATCTAACGTCATACAATCAGCAACGGAAGTCAATGTGCTTTGCTCGAACCTTGTTTCTGATTTATCTGATTTTCACAACTTGTTGGGTACCATATGCACTAATTATTGTACTGGACAGACAAGATTCCTTTCCTCACGAAGCACATTTAATAATAACGACGTTTGCCCACTTGCATCCATCCATCAATTGGCTGGTTTACTACATGACCAACAAAAACTTCAAATATGCTTTTAATTCACTCATAAAATTAGACAGTTGTAAGAAGAAACACATAACAAGGATTCAGGTGCTACCAGCGCCAGAATGAAAGATCCTGGGAATCAGAGGATATGAAGTGAGAGAGAACTGGAATCTGATCATTTCTACGCTTAAAAAGAAAAAAAAAACGCACTGTGTGACGTAGAGACCGGTCCTTCGGATGAGACCGTATAAGCCGAGGTCCCGTGTCGCAGTAGGTACTTGTACGAAAAAAGATCCTTCAATCGTCCTAAATGTCGAGCATAGGACAAAATTTGCACCTCTCCACCGGCAAGTGGTGGTGTCTTCATTTGAGAGAAAAAATCTCGAGAGGGACGTTAAACAACAAACAAACAAAAAGAAGAAACAATTGCGGTCAACCACCTCTGATGTTTTGGAGGTCCGTGTTTGCTCTGCTCCTATTATATATTTTTTTATGGACTTTTATCGGAGTACTGTTCGTTATCTTCATATGTTTCATTTGTTATGCGAATTCATTCAAAAATTCCTTTGACAATTTTTATTCAATTATTGTACAAAAAAACTTGTTTCATTTGATCTAAGGACTCCATGATATTTCGTTAGATTAAGTTTGTACTACCCTTTTAATTCATATTAATATTGTGAAAAATCATTGAATACGCGAAACATTTCAATGGCCATATACATGTGATATATAACTAATCATTGTGCTCATACTTTCTCGACTCTCTTATTGATTACTCCATTAAGAATGTAAAACTATAGAGTGTTTCATTAGAAATAACAGTAAAGAGAAAAAACATCATGCTGATGTTGTGCACAGAATTTAGTAAATACAAGGACAATTAGGAAAAAATTGAATAAAAAATATTATAAACTTGCAGTTCAAGTTACCTTCCATGTAGGTTGTTTTGTGACTTCATAAGTATTATATTTCTAGCTTAATGATAGGCTGTATTACATGGAAACAAAAGTCATCTCATGGAAATGGTGGTATAAAAAAATAACATTCCTACAACTGTCACAGCCGTGTGCCAGCGGGCATGAAGGGGATTGAGGAGGTAATAAGATCATAAGAAATACAAGTGTGTATCAGATCAATTTCTCTGGTCACCAACCTACGCTATGATCAAAAGTATGTTTACACAACTTCACATTGGCAATGAGACCCATGGACTGCATCATCAACCCGGATCATTTTAGCCCAAATTTATTCAGTAATTTTTTTTAAAAACAATTTTCCTTTTCACCTCTAAAATTTGACCACACATTGTGATCTTTTCTGGTGAAATCACATTGCAATTTTTTTTCTGTCATGATGAGATAAAGTACACGAATAGATTTGAGAAAAATGTGTTCGATTGCTGTGTAAAAATATAGCACTATTATATTTTTGTCACATATAGCTAGGAGTCTACTCAAATCTTACCACTGAACTATTGCGAACTTGCCGTAAAACAGCAATAATTAATCAATCAATCAAATTAAATCAATAATGTGTTTTAAATTTTGATTCAGCTTCCTGTTAAATATATCTTTACACTAGAATTGTCGAAATTTATAAGTCTTGAATCCGTAAAGTAGTTAGCATCTTCCCAATTTTAACATTAACGTAAAGTTTTACTTTTGTACTTACTGTACAAAGAAAGCAAAACACTTTTTTCCTCTTTATAACACAGCTGTGATAACTAATTTAGTGATAATTTTAAGGCATCTTCAATTGTTACAAAATCCAATTTCTTTACTTCGTAATCCCTAAGGCTTAGAGAACACTTCACTAGTATTTCGTGCAATCATTAAGAAATATGTTTTCAGAGTAAGTTTAGTGCTCACGATCTCATTAAGCTTTCTCTTGGCGCAATGGGATCAGATTGTTTAGTTTATTGTTCAGACCCATTGGAATCTATTGTAATTGAATCGCATTGAATTGTGTTGTTATTGTCAATAAAATGTTTTTAAGAACCTTTTATTTTCATTTGTTCTTTCTTGGAATGTATATAACATTAGGTTTTTAAATACATCAGTAAATTTAAATTAGTGATAAAATAATTTCTTTACTTCTATAGATTTGAAAATAATTAATGTATGTTTGCAAGTTTTATACCGTGACTTAATTCAATCTTTAAACTAGTGCTAATTGTAACGGGGACCGTTACAGATGTTCTCCAAACGCTCCCCAACTCCCTTTTGGTGCCATATTCCCTGGAAGCTTCATTTAATCAGACAAACTCGATGCATTTGATACTTTAACAACGTTTACCCAGAAGTGTACATAGTTCATTCAAATTTTAGCATTGCACGCGTGCGCATGTGAATGCATGTGCGTAATGACCATATCATCTTGTCTACACAATCTATATATTTTAATATACTAAATATTAAAGTATTTAATCCAAAAGTATTAAAAAGATGCGCTCATTCAAATGTTTTTTTGATATTGCTCATTTCACGTGCACGCACGTGCATACATGAGCATGGTGACCATACCTTCTTGTAGATGTCTTTTACATCTATCTATGTTCTAAATCCCACCCCGTTTGGTTGAAAAGCAAGGGAGTTATAGCTGTTTAAAGTTTCAGCCAATCAGATTGCAGCACACGTACATGCACGTGTATGCATGTGCATGGTGACCATATTTTCTTGTAGTAGACCAGTATATCTATCTATGTTCCAAATCCCATCCTGTTTGGTTGAAAATCTAGGGAGTTATAGCTATTTAAAGTTTAAGCCAATTAGATTGCAGCGCACGTGCATGCACGTGTTTTCATGATAATTGCTATATATCATGTTATATTCTATGTTAATTGATATTCTAATGCATGGCTATTTTCAAAATTTCAAAGGATTTCGTCAAAAAACAAGAAAGATATTGGCACTTTAGTTTCAGCCAATCAGAGCAAAGCGCACGTGCATGCGCGTGAGATCTTGCTATTTTGACTATGTCATATTGTGTATGCTACTAATATATCCTTATGTTATAAGTTTCAAAGCATTTCATCAAAAAATTTAAAAAGTTACGCCTATATCAATTAAATCGGTCATTTCACATGTTGCACGTGCACGCTCTTGCAAGCACGTGCGCGCAAAATGACCTTCGTTCCGCAAATCTACATAACATGTCTACTGACCCTATAAACATTTCACCTTAGTCGGATGTATAGTTTACATGTACGAGATCATTCCCGGACAAAAAAGTACCCAGGAAGAAGAAGAAGAAGAAGAAGAAAAATAATAATAACTAGAGCAAAGCTCGTTGCAAAGCAACGAGTAGGTCTTCCGTCCGGTTTTGACCGGAAGTGCCGGAAGTGACTTCAAAAAAGAAATTAATGAGCTATGTTGTCTCCAGTGACTATATAATTTCAATTTTGCATCAAAAACCTTCAAAATTAGCTATTTTTGCTACTTCCGGTTTGACCGGAAGTGACGCTGACGGACGAAAAATTAATTTTTATGCTCCCAGAGACATATGTTATCCAAAAACTTGTCAAGAACGGCAAAAATACGCGTTTTCCGACTACTTCCGGTTTGGCCGGAAGTGACGACGCCGGACGTTTTTTGACGTCTGCAGTAGATAAAGCTTGACATTTTGAACAACTTTGCTCCTTTGACGTATTACAAATTCTCAATACTTTTTGAGATATAAAGAAAAAACTTTCGGCCCCTCAAGGCCCCTCATTTTAGGGGCCAGCCCCTTTTGCAAGATATCATTTGAAAGATCTTAGATTTCTACACTTCTTTTATTCTACATGTTTTAACAAAATGTTTCCAGGTAAAAAGATATCGTAGAAAAGGTGTTAAAAAATTTGAAATTCGCGATACGACTATTTTCGGGCCATAGCGAGCGCCGACGTGCGGCACTTCCGATAAAAATGAAATACGTTATACATATCTATAGACTTTGGTCTATCATACCTGAAAGTTTCATGTTTCTATCTTAAGCCATTATTGAGAAAGTCTGGAGACAACATGACCCTTCAAAAATCATAAAATCGAAAATATCTCCAAACCGGAAGTGACGTAATCAAATCGGAAAAAAATGCATGAGGTTCAAGTAATGTTATATAAGTCCTGAAAGTTTCATGGAAATCCATCGAGCCGTTTTCGAGAAATCGCGTGCACAAAATCGGTAAGAAAAAAAAGAATAATAACTAGAGCAAAGCTTGTTGCAAAGCAACGAGTAGGTCTTCCGTCCGGCTTTGACCGGAAGTGCCGGAAGTGACATCAAAAAAGAAAGCAATGAGCTAAGTCGTCTCCTGTGAGTTTATAATTTCAATTTTGCATCAAAAACCTTCAAAATAAGCTATTTTTGGCTACTTCCGGTTTGACCGGAAGTGACGCCGACGGACGGAAAATTAATTATTATGCTCCCAGAGACATATGTTATCCAAAAACTTGTCAAGAACGGCAAAAATACGCGTTTTCCGACTACTTCCGGTTCGGCCGGAAGTGACGACGCCGGACGTATTTTGATGACGCCAGTAGATAAAGCTTGACATTATGAAAAACTTTGCTTCTTTGATGTATTACAAATTCTCATTACTTTTTGAGATATAAAGAAAAAACTTTCGACCCCTCTAGGCCCCTCACTTTAGGGGCCAGCCCCTTTTACAAGATATCATTTGGAAGATCTTGGAATTCTACACTTCTTTTGTTCTATATGTTTTAACAAAATATTTCCAGGTAAAAAGATATGGTAGAAAAGGTGTTAAAAATTTTGAAATTCGCGATACGACAATTTTCGGGCCATAGCGAGCGCCGACGTGCGGCACTTCCGAAAAAAATGAAATACATTATACATATCTATAGACTTTGGTCTATCATACCTCAAAGTTTCATGATTCTATCTTGAGCCATTATTGAGAAAGTCTGGAGACAACCTGACCCTTCAAAAATCATAAAATTGACAATATCTCCAAACCGGAAGTGACGTCATCAAATCGGAAAAAAATGCATAAGGTTCAGGTTATGTTACATAAGTCCTGAAAGTTTCTTGGAAATCCATCGAGCCGTTTTTGAGAAATCGCGTGCACAAAATCGGTAAGAAAAAAAAGAATAATAACTAGAAACGATCTCGTTGCGGGCAACGAG